ACTGAGAATGCTTGTATGTACATGTTTTGTAACATACATTTCCAAGCTAAACAGACAGATACTGTAGATACTGAGAATGCTTGTATCTACATGTTTTGTAACATACATTTCCAAGCTAAACAGATACAAACTGTAAATACTGAGAATGCTTGTATCTACACGTTTTTGAGCTTGAATAATTAGTGCACATTTGATATCTAACATGTAATACTGATTCTTACTTAAAGATGATCTTTCTGAATACAAGAAAACATACATAAGTGATACAATCTTCAATATAACATAAATGCAATTTTGTGCATCAGTTACTTTTCAGGTGCACACCCCCAAAGTCAGCTGTGAGATATTTATGTCTTTTTTTCATGACATTCTGTGAATTAATGTCCTCACTAAAACATATTTTAAGTTCTATTATTATACCTTTCAAAAATCAATATTTCACAACTGTGAAAGCAAAACTCATAATAACTCAAAAATATAATTAATAACAAAAATTTACACTAGTGCATACAGCAGATAACACAAATTTCACTTCCAGTAAAATTAACATATCTTTGCTACTCTACTAAAACATGCACATGATGCATTACACTTGTGAGCTGTTACATAACTTTATGTACGCACTCGTTATGCAAATAAGCATAAAGAATTAAGGAAACATAACCTTATCAGCCAATACCAAAAATTCAATAAATAGACTATATTGTTAAAAAAAAAAGTGAAAGTTCAAATTTTGACAAAGTTGCCTGAATTTTGAAGGGGACATAAAGAGTACCTGAATCTAGCATGTGTTTAACAAACCCATGCAAAGTGAGAGAAGTATAAAAAGAGAAGGCCAATGGTTAACATTATTTTTTTTGAATACTCAACCTGTAATTATCCCTAAAAGATGTATAAGGACCAGATAGTAATCAAAGAAAGTAAAATAGGAAAAAAGATAAGTCTAGTTACTTATGCTTGAACAAGTAATTATTATTAGTGATGGATGGAACTACTGTTGTTAACAAAGCTTAGCTTCTTTCAAGAAATAAAAAAATAGCTAGTTCATATTGAAAAAATAAAAATTAAATTAAATATCCTTACAGTTATGTATCTGATAATTCCTGACAGGATTTAAGGAAATCACAACACTTTAAATATTTACTTCGAGTTAAGTATTACAATTCATTCTAATCTTTAAAATACTTACTAGTTATTTTAGGAATGACTGTGATCTTAACATCCTTTTCTCTCTTTTGATTGGAAGCTATCACAAAAGAAAGATATAATCAATAATGGTGTCAGTTACACAGTTTTTTTATTATACACCTAAAATCTAATGACTAGGAATAACTTACTGATTTTACATCTAACATATTTTCTTCAAGAAAATATAGTATGCCTATGTGATGTAATTCCGACACTTTTTAGAAATTCTAAGAATCCATGAGTGAAAGCAAAGAGAATATATCAGCCACAGACCTGCCAACATTAAATTTTGAAGAACAGTAATCCCTACCATGACAAAGGAAAAATGGAAAAAAATGTATACAGAAATAGTGTCACAATTAATTATGTTTTATTTAATGCTTACTAATTACAGTGTACTACTGACTAAGAGCCTTGTATGTAGCTCTTGGTTTTCTTTAGGAAACCATCTGTAAATTCTTTGAAGAAACGTGGTTTTTGTGCCATCTCCATCTTCCTTATCAGCACTGATTCCTAGGTGGAGTTTGACACTGATCCTTTAACGTCTGTCCAGTTTTTGCAAACAAGGAAAAAACCTTCTCACAACCTGCATTGCTGTGTGGCATTACAAGGATAGACTTCATTACTTCAGACAGTTTATCATATTTAAAGTTGAACTGTTCATGATGGCACCCATCTATGACTTGGTGATTGGAAATATACGAGGCAGTAGAAGTTTGGATGAACCAGACAAAGAGAAGACTGATGAAGCATCTGCAATAACCACTAGCACTCATGAACTTTCTAGCCCTCTAGTGGCAACAATATTACACACAACCATAAAAATGTAAAAGCTTTGAGTAAGACGACATCAAAAATATAACAAAAGCCTAGTACAACAATTAAATTGCATACACAAGGTATCACTCGTACCGAGTTATGTAACCAATTTTGTCATAACTATCACCTTTATAATAATTACTTTTAACACTCTTGTTATGCAGACTAAATAATCATTAAATATTAGATCACTAAATGAAATAAATAACTCTTATACAAAATATTCTTGTATATTCCACACTCTTTTGATTGTTCTTGTTTTTTATTCAAAGGTGAATGAATTGAGCCTCTTTCCTGTTTAACATATAATAAATTTCTTATATTATTTATTTATGTGTGAAGGAGGTTGAATATCAGCAAAATCTGCAAAGAAAATATATAAATTGAAATTTGCCGATTCCATAAGTATTCTGACCCACAAGTCAATACTTGGTGGAAGCACCTTTGGTGGCAATTACTGTTGTGAGTCTATTTTGATAGATCTGTACCAGCTTTGCACAATGGGATGGTGTAATTTTTGTCCATTTTTCTTGGTAAAATTGTTTCAATTCTGACAAATTTGTTGGGTATTGGTGATAGACTGCAATCTTCAAGTCTCTCCATAAATTTTCAGTTGGATTCAAGTCAGAACTTTGACTGGGCCACTCCAGGACATTCACTTTCTTCTTTTGAAACCACTCCAGTGTGACTTTGGTTAACTGTCCTGCTGAAATGTGAGTTTTTCGACCCAGTTTTAGATTCTTGGCTGAGTCAAGCAGGTTTACCTCAAGGATTTGTCTGTACTTTGCACCATCCATCTTCCCCTCAATTCTGATGAGCTTCCCAATCCGTGATGAAGAGAAGCATCCACATAATATGATGCTGCCACCACCATGCTTAACAGTTGGAATAGTGTTGACTGGGTGATGTACTGTGTTGGACTTGTGCCAAGTGTAATGCTCTGAATTTATACCAAAAAGCTCAATTCTTTCTCATCTGACCACAAAACCTTTTGCCATGTGTCTGCAGTATCATTTACATGCATTTTGCAAACTCAGTACAAGAATTATGATGATTATTTTTCACTTATGGCTTCTTTCTTGCCACTCGACCATACAGGACAGCTTTGTGTAGGGACCAGGATATTGTCGATGTATGAACAATGACTCCCATCTCAGACATGGAACATTGCAAATCTTTCAAAGTCTTCACGGTGGCATCCCTAACCAATTTCCAGCTTGTGCAGCTGCTAAGTTTGGAAGGGTGGCCTGACCTGGGTAATGACCAGGTGGTATGAAGCACATTCTACTTCTTAATGATGGACTTCACCGTATTAACCCTATCTCCATGGGTACCATTTACTGCACATGACACAAGGTTTTAGTGTCTTACATTCAAAATTTTATGATACTACTTTTTGTTTCATGTTATACCAGTTATAATAGCATAAAATCTTAGCTAATAATCCATATTCTAATAATATACAAGTTTTAAGTTCTTAATTATACAAGGAAATATATAAATAAATCCTGAATTTCCACTAGCATGACACAAGTGACACATTTTGTTTTAGCATGTCACCATCCCTATTTTATCCACCACCCCTTGAAAAAGGAGGAAAATAAATGTCAGTTACTCTCTATAAGATCGTTATTGCTCAGACAAATAATAATTTTTATAGTCTTCAATTTTGTTTGGTTACAGAGCTACCAAATAGAAAATCAGATCCCTACTGCCACACCCACCTGTCATATCCTCTCTTTCACAATTCTTTGATAGTTCTCTCTTATGTTCATTATATATTAACTATAACCAATAGAAAGTCAAGGTTTTCATCTATCAAATGGCATACGGTATAATGTGTTCTGAACAGATAACCATCAAATTTACTCAGAGTAGCAATGTCGTTTCCCACAGGAAAGTTAACGACTAGCTTGGATGAATTTGTAACAGCTCTTGTCGCACAGTTAGAAAGCTAGGAAAATTTTTAGAAGTAACTAAATTTGTCTACTTTTTGCATGTTATTAGTCTATATTCCTTGGTTCATTATTTAATTAAATAAAAATTGTTAAGTGCTTTACTATAGTCACTAAAAAAATCAGGCTGATCAGGTAATGTGAGCTGCACATTCCCCAAGTGAATTACAACTTATAACGGCACAGAAAGTAGTTAGACACAGTTCAAAAAGCAATAAAACAATAACATTTAATTATAAATAGATGTATAATGTTACGAACTTAGAGTTACTTAGGATAAATGAATATAGTTTCATGTTACAATTTGAAATCATTCTAGAAAGAAAAGAAGGTTAATTTAGGTTTATTTTGATTTTTTTGGTGGTTATGAGGTCGATCAAATTCACTGATCCCATTTTGAGATAGGGTAGAGATATTAACATATAAACTATAAGGATTTAGTAAAAAAAAGACGTTTGAAATATATTTAGAAGGATTTAGGGATTACACAAAGGAAATTTGAGACTATTCAAAA